CTTACATTTTGACGGACTTTTGGAAAATTTTATACTTTTAGTAACCGTATGATTTTATTAAAAATTAAAATAACGGTTTTCCAAATTAAGTCACGATTTTAAGGTAGCACCTCGAATCAGTTTTCGCAAAGTAAAAGGTTTTATTTTTAAATAACTTTGCGAAATTTTCGCACTCTGATTTTAACGATAAGGAGGGGTGTTACACGCTGGGCCACATTTGAGGTGCATGACGAAGGAGGAAGGTCGATACGTCCTCAAGGAAGTGCACGAGGGATGCTGTAGAGACCATAGTAAGAAGGGAGCAATGGTCGCCAAGATCTTGAGGGCAAGATATTTTTGGCTAACAATGAAAGCTGACGCTAAAGAGATGGCGAAGAAGTTCTTACAATGTCAGAAGCATGGTCCACTTATCCACCAACCTGCAGAGACAATGTCCACGATGAGTGCCCAAATCCCATTCGCGCAGTGGGGGATCGATCTAGTAGGACCAATGTCTCAGGCAACGGGGCAGCGTCAGTTCTTGATCGTGGCGGTCGATTACTTCACGAAATGGGTGGAGGCCGAGCCATTGGCTAAGATCACATAGGAGAAAGTAATCCAATTCCTATACAACAACATTTGTTGCAGATTTGGAATCCCTAAAATCCTAATATCCAACAACAGGACGCAATTCAACAGAAAACGAATTAGGGCGTGGTGTGAAGAGATGGGGATCGAGCAACATTTTGCCTCTGTCGCCCACCCGCAGGCCAACGGACAAGTGGAGGTGACCAACAGGATCATCTTAAATGGGTTGAAAAACAAACTCAAGAAGACTTCGGGGCGTGGGTCGATGATTTGACATTTTTACTTTGGGCATATCAGACCACCCCGAGGTCGACTTTCTGTCGGTCGAGTTGGAGTTACAGTCTCAACGATCAAACACTTACAATCAGGAGCAGATTAAAGAACTCATGATCGCCGCCCTGGATAATATCGAGGAGCTCAGAGAGCAGGCCTCGACCAGAATCGAGGTATATAAACAAAGGATGAGAGCAACCCATGACAAGAAAGTGAAGATCCGCAGATTCCAGGTGGGCGGTCTGGTCTGGAAAAGAGTGGATGTGATCAAATATGTGGGCAAGCTGGAACCAAACTGGGAAGAACCATACCTGGTCGAGAAGGTTCATGCTGGAGGAGCATACTCCTTGAAAGATGCAGAGGGAAGATCATTGACCAGGTCATGGAATGTTGCCAATCTCAAGAAATATTATGTGTGAATTTTTCTCTTTCATGGTTGCACAATGATCAAGACAATGTAATTTTGAATCAAAATTTCACCAAGATTATTGAAATACTTTGTTAGAAAATTCCTCTTGCAATTGTGTATACACTCGTTGGATTTATTCTATGGCTTACATATATACTCCATGCGATCTACCTATAAATTCAATGTGACTTATTTAAGCTATTGAAAAATGTTAGTAATTTTGTGGATTCCCAGCATGCTTTCATTAGTGTATTTTACATGATATGTATGGATGGCTTATGGGATGTTTGGATTTTTCTTTTTATGATGTGCATGAAATTGCGGGCGAAATCTAGGTGATGAGTTGCTCGAAGAAACAAATCTCTTCGTTTTTTGTAATTAATTAAATGGTCACGACTATCAAATTAGTAAAAATTATATTGTTCATTATATTATATGGCATTTATATATTTACTCGTGTATAAGTAAAATAGTATAAATGTATTGTTCATTTATACTAATGATCAAATTTGTTAAATATGATATATATATATATATATGTATATATCAAATATTTTATGATTATAAATATATATTCATACATATAATTTATTTTTATTTGAATCGGTGCATGTGCTTAGTGATATAGCCATACTCGAGCAGATCGATTATAGCAGCTCGACCGGATATCAAAACCAGCCGCCTATATATCGATTGGAACAAAACATAATGACCTGCCAGGGAAACAATACATAAGAGTTCATCTCAGAAGTCGACACTAGTGAAGGATGAGCAGATCAATGCTAGTTCCTATCACCATTGAGAACATTTTGAAGATGACCTCAAACCCTCCATAGCTCAAGGCCGACTCCCTATATCACCACGACTGAGGGAGTCGACATCCACAAGTCGACTATTTATCTATCATCACGACTGAGGGAGTCGACATCCGCGAGTCGACTCCCTTAATTGTCTAATCAAGGTCGACTTCATCATCTTAAGAATACGAGAATGAGTCAAGTGTAAGTAGCAGAACCTCCTTATATACTACACGTGGACATTAAGTCGACCTCTTGTTGCTCTTGGTCGACTCTTCACACCTCGAGGCTTCAAGTGTACGACGATTGCGGATACTTGAGGAATTCAACGGGCTTAATGGATAAGGATGATTCTTTATAGAATAAGATGGAATCTTAAGATGACTCGCACCTGACTAAGACATGATTTTAAGACACAATAAACCAGGCAACCATACCGGTTGACCTGGGGCATTTCAGGTATTCCGTTTAGGTATCTTCCCCAATAAAAAGGAATGAGATAACACCAAACTCTAACTTTTACACTTTTACACTTTTTCCACATTTCCCATATCCAGATGTTGCTGTTCTATGAGATCATCTTCTCTCTTTCTGAAATTGACTTGAGTGAGCGATGGGGGCTCTACGCCAGAAACTCATCCGACGTTGAGTTCTTGCAGGTGTTCGTGACGATTTAGAGGCGGCTCAGACAGATCGAAACACATCTCAATAGGTTCACTCTAGATCTAAGAAGAGACCCATCACACAGGATTAACTATTAGTATCAAATAATAAACCCATTGAGTTTATTTTTTTTTTTTTTTTCAAATAAAAATAATTATGTTAAACTCTAGAATATACAAAGGATGTCCAACTGAACAAATAAGCCCTACTCTATCTAAGCTATTAGAGAGGAAACTAACGAGGAAGTAGCATTCTACTTCCCCTCTAGAGCCATTTTGGGCAAAGAGCAACAATCATGAAAAGAACAGTCGAGAAAAAGCAAAAAATACAAGACTTAACAGTTAACCCAATTAAGTTTGAAGCCAACTAAATACACCTTATTGAGTTATGGATATGATTTAGTAATGAGATTTGGTATATATACTTATGTATTTGAACTTTTAACTTTTCTTAAATAGTCTCAACAATCATCAATGTTAATTAAGATAAATATATGATTTATTTATTTATTTTTTAAATCTCAATGGAACTGCTCATACTTTAAAAATCTTAAAAAAATCTAAAGTTAAACGAATACATTATGCATCGTCTTGATTTATTTTTTGATTTGTATTAGTTAGTCAAAATTGATTTCGGATTATATCTTTCCGAACGTGATCAAGGATTTTGATAAAATAAAAGAAAAAAATTATATATATATTATGTATTTCATTCATTATTTCTCTTGTGAATCATTCGCATCAGTTGTTTTAGTCAAAACATATATCATGCGCCGATTTGCCGATGGCCTTTCAAACTCCTCAAAATCAATTTCCCTCAGAGATTCCACTCATTTCAATATTTTCTTTGATCTCTCACATTTTGTTTATATATTCTTTCTATTAAGCTAATTTTTATTCCTTTCGCATGCGCATTTGCACAATAGCCGAGGCCATGCTTGACTCTTTTAATTCCTTATTATTATTATTATTTTATTAAAAATAAACGAAAAGAAAAGCATTGTTGTTGGATCCATCAATCCATGAACCTAAACACCAACTGTTGGACAAAAAGCCTCTTATTATTACATAACATTTCTCACTCTCATGATTACTCTGTGTTTTCTTGTCCATATTTTGACCATCTCTTTCTCTTCTCGTCCACCCAAAAATGAAAAAAAAAAAATAATGTGTAAGTAGAGATATAACTAACTAGAGGCAGCAGAGCGATAGATAAAATGGGTCCAAAATCCAAAATAGAAGGGTGAGATTTTGGACTAAAAGCTCCAACCTTTCATTCTATTTTTCATTATTTTCCTTTTTTTTTCCCCCTTAAAATCGACCCACCACTGTCACATTCTTGGATTTTCTTTCTATATGACCTGTCCATATGTATCTGTCTATATATATATATATATAGGTATGAAAAAGGTAGATTGGAGTGAGGGTAATTAGTAATTACCATGCTTTTGCTTGTGTCTTCAGAAACCAATAGGTTGGGCTTTTGATGACCAAAGAAGACATGGACAGTAGCAGCAGCAGCAGCAGGGGCTACAAAAGGAAGAGTCTTTATGAGTCATTATTGCTTGCTGTTTTGTTTCCCCCTATTATTATGAGGAGGATGACCATGAGTTGAACCCTTGCCTTAATTCACCTGTTTATCCTTTTTTTTTTTTTGGTTTTGGTAATATTTTGTTTTGAAATTATTTGATATATGTGTGGTTGAAATAGTTGGTGGGCTGCCCTTCTTGTGGGGTTTGTTTAGAACAGTGTGTGTGTGTGTGTGTGTGTGTGTGTGTGTGTGTGTGTGTGCTTAATTAATCAAGTGCTGAGCTGTGGTAATGAATAATTATAGTCAGGAGGTTCCGTCGATTTGAGATAAATGAGGCTTTTAATGATTTGGAGTTGGAGAATTGGTTCTTGTATTATTAAGAAGTGGGGGACGAAGGAGTGAATACAAGTTATTAGGGTCAAATCTATTAATTAACAGAGGAAACATTACTTTTTAAGGTCTTGCAAGGTTTGCTGATTAATGATGGCCAAAATTTCTGGATTCCATCGACAAGGAAATGACTGGTATTTATCTCTCTCTCTCTCTCTCTCTCTCTCTCTCTCTCTCTCGACTGCGTGTGTGTGTGTGTGTGTGTGTGTGAGTGAATTGTGATTCCTTGAGTTTTGTGGCGTTTCTTTTGATTTTTTGATGACCATTGAACTGTGAGCCTCTTCAAACAGACAGATGGAGAATATAAAAACCCATGGATTTTGCAGTTTTTTTTAATAAGTTTGAGTTAATTAATTACACGTTTAGTCGTTCAGCAAGCTCCTCAAAACATGCTACTGAATTCCATACCAATGCTTCCTTTAAATAAATAAATAAAATTACTAGTGCTGCTAGGTTTTATTATGTTTTGAAAAGGGTAATGCTAGATTGAACTAGGATTTTATGATTCAACACTTGCCAGTTTATCAGTATAAGTGATATTAACATGAAGATAAAACTGGCCTACATCCTTGTGGATGGAGGGCTGAAAGTAACTTACATATATTAGAAATTAAAGTGAAAAATAAAAAACTACTACCCACGATATTGATTCTATGTTTTTTTTTACGTCAGGTTTTGCAATTCGCGTTTGCCGAGCGATATTACAGTAGTCGTGGATGAAGTGAACTTCCATCTTCACAAGGTATCTCTGTTTGGTTTGAGTTCGTGTTGAACGTCTTCCGAAATTGTGCCTGCATTTTTCTGTACGCAGTGGCTTTTCTAGGAATATAGATGGACGAAATAGGAATAGTAGTTTTTTTTTATCTTGTGGGTGTGGCCAACTATCTGTGCCTAATCAATTGTTGCGAGAAGAAAAACTGCTAAATTGACTCGTCTATTTTGAGGTTAGAGAGGCAAAAGATTCAAAGAAGAGTTCATGTGACCCTTCACTTGTCTCTCTCTTTGAAGATTTGTGGCTATACATCATTTCATGATTTAAACCACGACGAACAAGTTTTGTGCATATAACATTTGGACATGCCTCGTCGACAACAACCAATTGATATGGATGCACAGATTTAGACTACAAACATCATCTTTTGTATTTTGCAACTAACATTAATTTGTTTAATGTCGAATTTGATATTTGAGAAACCGCTGTTGTGCTAATATCCTATACGAATTTACAAGGTCTCCCCCAATTAGGCAAATCTAAAGTTTTTTTTTTAATCAGGATTGCTAAGTTCTAACATCTGAAATCCTTCTTTTACTTGAATCCTTTTTTTTTTCTTTTTTTGGTGGTGTTTCTCCATGTTTGCCTGTCATTTTACATATGTTTATGTCATTTACTTCCAGGTATTTTCCAACTGTATTAATGTCCATCACCCTTCACATTCTATTTTAACTTTCTTCTTTTTTCATTTGGAATCTGACAAACAAGCGCTTTCTCCTTATCCAGTTTCCTCTCATATCACGATGCGGAAAGATAGCTACCGACCTCGAACAACCCCAGAGCACCACAAACACCACATCAACACTAGCCCTCGAGCAATTCCCGGGCGGGTCCAACACATTTTTAGCCATAGTGAAATTCTGTTACAACTCCCGCATAGAGTTCACAGCCCGGAACGTTGTAACCTTGTACTGTGCATCCGATTACCTTCAAATGACGGATGATTATGGCGAAAACAACCTGCTCTCGAAATCCGAGGTCTTTTTCCATAAACAAGTGCTGCGCCAGTGGAAGGATTGCATATTGGCTCTCCAAAGCTGTGAAAAAATAATCTCGAGAGCCGACAAGCTCCACCTCATAAACCGTTGCATCAACGCCTTATCCGTTATGATCTTCACGGATCCCACTTTGTTTGGGTGGCCCATGATGATGTACGGCAGCCTGCAGAGCCCGGGGGGCAGCATCTTATGGAACGGGATAAATACAGGCGCAAAAATAGATACAAAAAGTGAATCCGATTGGTGGTTTGAGGACGTGTCGTATCTTTGTGTCGAGTTATTCGAGAGATTAATACTGACAATGGGGTCTAAAGGAGTAAAGCCCGAAATTTTGCTGCGGGCCATAATGTACTACTGTAAGAAGTACCTTCCAGGCCTGGGCAGGTGGCAGGGGACTGGGCAGCAAACCGGGTTTTCAGTAACGGTTGCTAGTTTCAGCATGAAGCCGGCGAATATTGAACAGGTTGCTTTATTAAAAAGTGTTGTGAAATTACTGCCCGATAAAAAGGGTGAATCATTTTGCCGTTTTCTGCTCGGGCTTTTACGCGTTGCATTGATCTTGGGAGTGGATGATGAGTGTCGGGATTGTTTAGAGAGGAGGATAGGTGCACAGTTAGAGTTTGCGGTTCTCGATAGTCTTCTAATCCCTAGTTATTCGGAATCCGACACTTTGTATGATAGTGATTGTGTGGAGAGGATGGTCCAGCATTTTGTGTTGTCCACGCCTGACCTGGCTCTGGTGTCCCATTCCTCGTTGCTTGACTTGGAGACGTCCCCGGAATCTGGACGGTTGAAGAGGGTTGCTAAATTGATAGATGATTACGTAGCCGAGATTGCTTCAGACGTTAACTTGAAACCCGGGAAATTACGTGCACTGGCCGAGGCCTTACCGGAATCTTCTAGATCTTTGCACGACGGGCTGTACCGGGCTTTCGATATATACTTTAAGGTTCGATTTGAAATCTTTCTTTCTGTGTGGGTCTTATTTTTCACCTCTATTCGAGTCCTGTTTTCAAAGTTGATTATTTTGCATTTTCTTTTGTCCAAGTAGTCACACCCTTGGCTCCCGGACAAAGATCGCGAGAGCCTGTGTACAATCATCGACTTCCAGAAGCTGTCCCTAGAAGCATGCGCACACGCGTCCCAAAATGAGAGGCTTCCCCTGAGAGTTGTTTTGCAGGTCTTGTTTTTCGAGCAGATGCAGCTGAGGACGGCCCTGGCTGGCTGCCTCAACATTCTGGAGACTGAAAGTGCCCCCGGGCCCTCAAGGGCGAGCCAAGTGGGCCAACAGGATGGGTGGGTGACAGTGGTCCGCGAAAACCAGGGCCTAAAAGTTGACATGGAGAGGATGAGATCCCGAGTTGGGGAACTCGAGCAGGAATTCGGGAAAATTAAGGAAGAAATGAAAAAAGTGACAAAATCACATAGTTACCTTACTTCTCCTCGTTTACTTGCCCACAAGGACGTGCCCAAGAGCTCAAGCTCAACTCCAAGGGCATCAATTGGGCTATCCCGCCCGTCAATTCGCCTCCCGTGGCATAGGAAAACTTCATCTCTATCTGGTTAGGGGATTCCATGTTTTCTTGATTTCTAGTGTTATGAAAAAAAAATTGGTAAAAGTACTTTCACGGATCGTATGGGAGTTTTTGCAAGAACTGGGAAGTGATTCTCAGACTTTTATGGGGGAAAAATATTTATGCTTTTCCCTCCTAAAAGTGCTCTTTCTCTCTCTCTTTCTCCTTCACTCGAGTTCTTGCAAACACTCCTGATATAGATAAAGAGATTGTGAGAGACGAATCAATCGGCTTTACTGGTGCCAAGTTATTGAAGCTGATGAAGGCAGTTTCTTTTCCTTTATTGTTCACTTTTTCAAATGCACAAATCTCTCTTTCTTAACCGTGTTCATCTCGTGTAAGAAATCTCGTGTCACATGTACAGTATAACGTAAAATTGATGGCGCATGGTGTTCGCTGATTTATGTGATCAGGTAAGAGAAATATAAGAGCTTGTGCATTTTCTTTGGTATAGCACAAACAAAAAAAATGTGATAGAATGTGATGAGAGAAGCTGCTGGGGAAAAAAAATTCAATTGTGGGAGTGATTTCAAAAAAATGAGTAAACCATATTCATGTTGCCAAAAATATATTTTATAAAATTAATTTTAATACTAACACGATAGTTTTTATAGAATTATTGTTAATATTCATTCTTGCATAACATTGATAAAATTATTTTAATATCGATATCCGCAACGACGGAGCTGTATTGGGCTTAGGGGGCTCGGTCTTTAAAAAATTCAATTATATATTTATATATATATATAGGGAATGGTTCAAATGCTGACAGTTTTTTAAAATGCGGATGTGAGACTTATTTTTAGCCACAAGATTGGTACATGATATGTGTGGCAATGATTTATTCTTTTTTTAATATTTTAATTATTTAAATATTATTTTGACCCGTTGACTCCAGTGTTGACTGTTGACTTCCGACGTTGATCGTTGACTCCAGCATTGACTTCAGGCGAAAATCCGTTGACTTCTGGCGTTGACCGTTGACTTCCGGCATTGATCGTTGACTCTCGGCGTTGACCGTTGACAACTAAACTTGCAATTAAATATAAATAACCTAACATGC